AATTGTTTTTAAGTTTGAATTACTGAAATTGGATGAAGTTGGGTTTTATTCCTTTTTCGCATTAGCCACACTTCAAGCTCTTGGTAGCTACAGGTCTAGAGTGGAAATTCTCAAATGGGGACCCAGGTTACCCTGGAGCGGCCTATAACACTGCTGAACAATTTCCAAGGTCTAAACTATTTTCATAGGCTACCAAGGTGCTCTTTTCCTCCTTCACTTCCACTCTCTCACAGGTGCACAGTGGAAGGTTCTAGAAGCCACGTGAACTATAGCATCACACTGGACACAGAACCCCGTGAGAGAATGGTGGCCTCAAAGCCTGATCCTAGACAAATTGGCTGAAGTGTACAGCAAAGTCACAAAAAGAAAAAAAAAAGGTCACTCTCTTCCCTAATTGTTTTCTTTGAAAAAAATATAACTATTTTTCATTAAAAATGTGTTATGTATTACATAATAAGATAGTTATAAATGTTTTATTTTTTTTTCTCTTATTTTCTTACTTTTGTTTTCTTTTTTTTGGAGTGCTGGGGACTGAACGGGGGTTGGGGGGGGGCTGTGACTATTCAGTACATGCTGTACCACTCAGCTCCGCTCCCAGCTACTTTAGTTTCTGATGCAGTCATTATTGATAGACACAGCCCTCCAAAATCAAAAGCTTTCTGGAGCCCTCAATAATTTTTAACAGTAAAAGAAGATTTTTGAAATAGCTGCCTAATGGTCTAGTCTCATGGCTTGAGATTTCCTCTCCTTCCTCATATTTTTGGCTTGAACCTCTGGTCCCAGACAAGACGGAGCAGACACGCTTCTCTCTTTTCCTACTGCAGAGTACATCTAAATCCCTGGACATTATGCTTGCATAAAACATAAGAAGACTGATGGTAAAGAAAAGGCAGAGGGGCTATTGAGACTGGGCTCAAGAAATGCCACGGCACCAGGGTACTGTAGTCCAGACAGGTGGAAGCCAGAGAGTCTGCCCTGGCCCGGGGGTTGGGAGGCACCCATTCCCCCACCCCATGCTCCACAGAGGCCAACACTGAGTGGAGAACTTGGACCATCAGTAGAGCAAGCCTGCCAAGACAGAAGGTTGTCAAGAGATCCAGAGCCTGATAACATAATGCCCGAGATGTCCAGATACAATCTAAGACTGCTATTACATCAGGAACCAAGGAAGTCGCAGGTGCAATGCAGGGAGACAGCTAATAGACACCAACACTGAGGTGCTGGAGGGAAGCATCTGTGAGGATTTTAAAACAGGCTTCATACAAAGACCTGAAGGACCAATAGCAACGTGCTTGAAGCAAAAGAACAAAGAGAAAGCTCGGGAGATGAAAGACAGAAGACCTAAAGAAGAATCCTGCTCTTCTAAAGTTTTCCACTTTCTTGGGTCTTGCAAGACTCACTCCCATCCCTGGAGTGGCCACCTCCGGTCATGCCCGCATAAGGCCTCTTCCTCTTCCCAGCACATACAACTCGGCTCTCTTCTCGTTTCTCATCTCTGTGCATCTGCTGAGATCAGCCCATGTGTCACCTCTGCTGGAGCTTCCAGGGCCTCTACAGCCCTCCAGCTCAGAAGCTCCACACCATAGCCCTTGTGCTCACCATCCTGCCATCTTCATGGGCCAACAGAAGGGACTGCGCCACACGCCCGACGTAGCAACCCAGTCATACTGATTGCTCAATTCTGAATAAACGAACACTCGTCTGGGGCTCCCTAATCTCTGGAATAAAATCAAACTCTGTGGTCTAGCTTTAAATGCCATGCACAACAATGACAGCTAATCATGCTGTTCCTCAGCTTCCTTTAATACATCCTGTTTCTCAATTACACATGGAAAGACTGTCCTCTGAAGGTATATCCCTGACTCCAGGTCTTGGGTGTGCTCTTCTGGTTGCCCCCGATGTCCCCAATCATATCACCACCCAAATCCTACCCACTTCCAGAGACCCACTCAGATGCCACCCATCTGTGACCCAGGGTTGGATGTCTCCCTTTGGAAGGAGTCTCACCACCTCTGGATTCACAGCCCTCCATTTAATCCTTTCCTGTGGGTTCACTTCAGCCTCGTATTTGCTTTGTTGTGAGCTTGTAGTAGCCTCTACGAGATTTTCAAATCTGCAGATCCAAATAAACTAGTGTCTGACTCATCTTGGCCTCTGCTGCTAAGCATCGCTGGGTGCCTCATCTCTGTGAGTTTCCATTTCTTTCTCTGAAAGGATAGTACCCGCTAGTCCCTGCCCAGTGACTGCCAAAATATGCTCAAAGTTGGTTCGGTTTCTCAGTTTTCATAAGTACTCAATAAATGTTATGGTTATTGTTATTAAGTTACCTAAAAGAATAAAGAAAGAAAGCAATATTTGCTGTCTTCAGAACGTTTTTGGAACCCTCACCACGTTCGGCCTTGCTGCTTGCTCCTGCTGTGACCTTTGTCCTCCACTCTGTCATGAGGTCTCCTTCCTTTCCCACTCTTCTTCTACTCCTGTTCTCCACTCTGTAGGCAACACAATCCTTTTAAGATGTGAGATCACATTGCTCTACTGTTCAAAATGCTCCCGCAGTGTCCAGCCAGAGGCCGCTGTGGTCCTGTCCCTCTGCTGTCCTCTCACAGCTGCTGCCCAGCAGCCCTGTCTGCACGCAGAGGTGTCCGTGCTGGGCGCAGTTGCACCCAGGCCTGCACAGTCATCGTTCCCTTGAGGTGGGAGGATCTCTCCCCATCAGTCTGAAGCTTCTGCCCATGAGTCTCTGCCTTCCTCTGTACCTCCTAGAGTATCGCCTTAGTCATCACTCCATGCTCATGGGCCCTTATCTGCAGTTCAGGCTGTCGTTGCTTCAGTTACATGTGGTTAATCGTGGTCTGAAAATATTAAATGGAAAACTGCAGAGAGCAGTCCTACAGAAGGGAGTGATGAGGTCGCCCACTGTCCTGCTCTGTCCTGTCCCAGCCCTGATCCTCCCTTTGTCCAGCCTATCCGTGTTGGAGATGCCATGTGTTTGTGGCTTGGTTGTCAACTCCACTCTCCCAGTATCACAGTGCTGGCCTGGAAGGTTCAGATACCTGCTGGGGGTCTAGAAATAGCATCCCGGATGTAAAGACAGATTTCTATATTTTGCTTTTCATCATAGCCTAAAAACATGTCTACTGAGACGAAAATAAGTTGTCGTCTTTCTCCTGGGCTAAAACTGTAAGCCCCATGAGTAGTTTCTATATTCCCAGGAAGGCAGCTGGCACAAAGGAAGTGAGCGTTCAGCAAGCCTTACTGAAGGACTGGCTGGGGGCCTGGAGACACGCGCAGGTCCTGTAGGAACAAAGCAGCATCCTCTTGCACAAAATGGCTCACCTACCTCGGAGTTTCTGGGAAGAGGAAACATGGGGTTGGTCCAACTAGAGAGGCTGGGGTGGAGCAGACACCAGAATACAGGCTGCGCTTCTCCACTTGAGATGAAAATGCAGCAGAAGACGAGCTCAGGGACCCCTTCTGTAGTATGCAGGGCAACGCCCCAGTTAATTCTGAGAGGAGCTGGGGCAGAGTGGAGGGAGTTGGCCCCAGCCTGCTGGCACCTTCGTAGCCAGGCTCAGAACCTGCTGGGGGGAGCCTGAGCTGCCCTGACCTTAACCTTCACAGCTCCAGCTGGATGACACCAAAGGCCTCAGGTGGCAGGGTGAAGGGGAAAGTTGTGCGTGACCCCGGGCGACCAGGAAGCCCATCTTTTCTGTGAGCCTATGTTTGTGTTTAGCTGCACCGCAGCGAATTGGACTGAATGTATTTTTGAGCTCCTCCACACCAGTGCCTTGCTATGGCTGTGTGAGGTTTGCATATGAGATGAATTGGGCTAGCCAGCTAAGGGTCCGCGGAGGAGAGCAGGAAAACCAACGTGGAGTCTCACAGAGCCAGGGCCAAGAAGTAGGAGCTCAGGAGGCCACCAGGTGGCAGCATCGCCGCACTAGCGGGCTCAGGTCAAAGGGGAATTTGATTTTCCAGGAACAAAATTAAATCCCTCAGAGCAGGCAAGCTTTCCAGCTCTCAGGGACAACCAGCCTCCGCTCTCAAACCCTCACCGCTTCCCCACAAAGCCCCCACACTCAGAAACTCAGAGCCAGTTGCTTTAGAGCCAGTAGCCTCTAGCCAACGCGTCCTGGGCGTGCATGTCCAGGACTCATTCCTTCCCTTTGACAGGCCCGCCTACCTGGCCAGACCCTCAGCTGGCCACACTATGGCCACACATGCCACTATATGGAGGCCACCCAGAATTTTCTTTCTAAATACCTTGGTCCCTTTTCCTATCCTCCAAATCAAACACCATCTTCAGAAAGTTCAAGTCCCTCCTGAGTCCTGGGGAGAATTCTCTGGTTAGAGCAGTTAGAGCAGAGCCAGAGGCAGGCCCAGTGTGTCTGGAGGAAGTATACTAGGGGAAAAGGTCTGGCTCTGTGGCTGTCAAGAGGGGAAGAACTGACCTCCGTTTGGCTTCCACCGGCTCAGCCACTGTTGACACCACGGTGTTTCCTGAGGTGAGGTGGCCTGGGCAGCGCCCCTCCCCCACTTCCTGTGGCCTGGAGAGGGGCGACATCTGGAAGCCAGATCTCTAAGGCAGTCCCCAGCAGAGGACAGCCCTTTACCCTTCCTGTTCCGACCCAGGGCAGGGGACAGTCTGACAGTAGAGCATTGCCTTTGCTATTCTGCATTTGGTGTCCAGCTTGCCTTTTCTCAGAAGTGGGTTCCTAAGCCCCCAGTACGCTGTCCAGAGCTCCCCTTCAGCATTTGAGCCTGTGTCCCAAGGCTGGAAACAGCCAGCTTCCCTGTCGCCACTCACCCCCTCACCCCTGGAGAACAGTTGCCAACATAGCCACAGGTCCTCAACATCCTGCATGTTAATGTGACTGTGACCCTTGACGGTCCAGCCTCTTATGGCCCTCCCCTTCCCAGCACTTTCCCGAACAGTCCAGCCAAGTCCGATGGGGAAGCCACTGCACACACCCAGCCCAGCCACAGAACACACATTTAAGTATCACTTTAATTACAGTATTTACACACACCTATTTTTTTTTATTCAAAAAAAACAATCTTCTCAACTCTGGAAATTTCTATTTCCAACCGTCATTGAAATCAGGAACCCTGCTCACTCCTCTGGAAAAATGACAAGGCGGGCATTACCCCAGAGGAGGCAGCTTGGGGTCCCAGGGGAGATGTCTTGGGGCTGCAACCAAAGGGGTGCAGCACCATGAAGGGGTTCAGTTGGGAAGGCAGAGACAGAGGTGGAGGAGTCTACTGGGGGACTCCAAGGCTCAACTCTACCGGGAGCAGGGGAAGAGGGGGCAGGCCATGAGGTCAGAAGAGCAGGCCAAGCCCTGCCCTAGTGCAAGAGAGCGCCTCAGAAGAGCACGAGGCAGGCAGCTCTGCTTGAAGATCCCGTCCTGTGACCCAAGGGTAGTCTGTGTGGCCCAGAGACCAGGACTGAGTGGTGTACATGGAGAGCACAAATCCAGGCTCCAACCAAAGCACTATGCCAGCCTCTGTAGGCATGGGATAAGGCCCATGTGGAGCTCAGTGGAATATGGACATGTGGGGAGCAGGTGACCAAATCTGCTGTCATGGAAGGACAAGGGAAATGGCTTAAGAAGTATGTTTTCTGGCTGTGCTATTCAAGGGGAGCAGGCTCAAGGCATTACTTTGGTTTCCCTAAAGTACAAAAAGAAAATAGAAGGATCAGTAAAAGCAAAAGCCTCCTAAGAAAATGCTGGAGCTTAGGAAAGACCGCCCTTCCCCCTTGGGTTCTTGTAGTAGAAGGGAAGGAGGGCAGGAGCTGGCAACTCCAATATGGCTGCTACTGGGCCCACAGCCCCCACGGCAGACCCCTGGATCCTGGCTTTTCTCCACACCTGAAACTAAGGAAGCCCGGAGTCTGGGTTTGGAGAGCTGGAAGTACAGAAGGCTGGAGTGTACCTGCCTCCCCTCAAAGCGGCCCAGGGGCAGCATCTGGGGTGTGCACAATGGGAGAAGGTAGGATGCGAGGGACATCACCTCCACCTTGCAGGTGACCCACAGTCAGAGGCAGGGAGGGCTGCTTTCTTGGACACCTCCTGTCTTGCCCCACCCAGCCAAGTCACAATTCGGTATCAGCCACGTGTTGTCTTGCTGAATGGCCGTTTCTGGAGGTGGCCTGGCCGGTCCCGTTCTCCTGAGCCCCTTGGTTCACACTGGCCTTTCCCTGAGCCTCAGAGGAGGCCCCAGGGCCTGAGCTATAGCCCTGGCCTCCACTGTTCTCCGTATCATAAGGGTCTTCACCCTAGACAGTGTATAAATAAAGGAGCATTATCTGGTAAGCAAGGGTGTGAGGTACCGTGAGGGTGAGCAGGAGGGGCCAAAGGAAGTTGGGGAGAGGACTGGGGGAGGGGTGCAGCTGTGTGTGCAGACTCCTTTCTTCCTGGAGAGCGATCAGGGTTCCAGCTCCTAGAGAAGAAAGGACAGAGGAGAGGCACCACACCAGGTCAGTGCAGCTCAGCCGCCAGCTCCCGTGAGAAAACTGCCATCCCATGTGGGGTGACCTCCCCAGAGCAGGTTAACACCCAGAAGCCAAGAGCTCAACGTCAGCCTTGTCCTCTCATCCAGAACAGCACAAATAGATTTTCCTTCCTTATGTCTCCTTCCCGTGAGCAGGTGGCACACACCGGGCATTTAACAAGCTTACAAGTAAGTATGGCTGACCTAGCTGCGGGTTCTGGTTGTACCCAGCTAAACTATCCCAAGCACCATGATAAGCAGATGAGATGAATCATCTGATATGACAGTGAGTGGTGGGTGGACGCCAGCTACCTTCCCCCTAGTGTATCCATGGATACCAGTCTTTGTTTATCCATTTCTCTACATCAGGGCATGTAAATACTTGTACTGATATCATTCCCTGCTACGACATCCCCAACTTTCACTCATTCCTCTTTCCCCAGGCCCCATAACTGACCAGTCTTTCTCCTGTGGGGCTCCAACTTCGGCGGTTCATCAGGAAATAGCCAGTGGTGCCCAAGATAGCCAGCAGGATTCCTGAGGTGACCAGTGCAATCAGGGTCTTTCGGGAATAGCTCTGGTGGACCCCAACATCTTGTTCACTGAAATTTTGGATGCCCAACTTGAAAAGACAAGAGAAGACAGCTAGTCACTCAGAGGAAGGTTCTCAAACAGTACCTCAGCCCACTCTGGAGCCCAGAGTTCCACTCAACAGTGGACGGACACAAGAGGACATGGACTGCATTTCTGAACCAGCATTAAAATGGACCTCTTTTAACTGAGCTGCACTGTTTAAGTTCTGACTCAAACCCAGGAAGTTCAAGGCTGTCATAAAAAGACAGAGAGATAGGAAGTGCAGGACTAGGGAAGAGCATCACTTCCTCCCCTACTGGGTGAACACACAAGCCACGATGCTCCCTCAGCGACTAGAGGACTTACCTTTTCCAGGTCAGGCCGGTGCTTTTTCAAAACATCGTATTTTCTGGAAAGTTCTAGAATTAGAAACACAGATTGCTAGCGATAAATGAGCTCATCCTTCTCTATCCTCCCACACCACTCTAGAGATGTCCTCGTGGCAAGGGAGGTTCCTCTCCCCCAGATCCTTTCCCCACTGCCTATGGTCTCTGGAACGGCAGTGTGGAGTCTCCACCAAAGACCCTCATCCCCATCCTGCCTTTCCAGCTCTACTTGTTCCTCAGGGCCCCATGCAGGCATGCCCTTACCCGTGCTGTTGGCCAAGACCACCAGCAGACACTGAGGCTTCACCTCAGACTGGGCGAGGAGCAGGGAGCACGAAGTGTCCACTGAGGCAGCGTCAGCCTCTTCCTTCCCACACAGGATCTGGATCAGGTCCTTTCCTCTGTCTTTCTTAAAGTCCTCCTAGGGATAGAGAAAAATGGAGAGCAAGAAACTCCGTTACTAGTATTCAGAGTCTCACATAAGAAGTTTCACTAAGGGCTGGCCAAATAGCTCAGCAGATTAAAGTACCTGTAAACAGGCACAGGGGTAGGGGGTTCAATCCCTGGGCCTGCCATGCCTGCCATGCCAGCCCTGCCCCCGGGGCACACTGAGATGGCAATTGAGACAGTGTGGTGGCGCCCATCAGTAATCCCAGCTCCTAGGAGGCTTTAAAACAGGCGGATCACTATAAGTCCGACCTAGTAGTGAGATCCTGAACACCCTGTGGACCCTTCCCTAAAATACAAAAAAAAAAAAGTCTCACTGATATCTCATTTTGAATCCCCTCCATGGGAAAGAGCCTTTTGCCTAAAATTCCAAGGGGGAAAAAGTACTGCCAAGTGTGTATGTGAAAAAGTACAGTAATTTCAAAAATTTCCCAGTGCCAAACCATGTGCCAGAGAATGAACTTAGGAAACATTGTCTTCTTTCCTTCCTCCTCCTTTTTTTTTTTTTTTTTTTTTTTTGGCATAAGGTCTCACTACACAGCTTGGACTTGTAATGAGCCTCCTGTTTTCAGCCTCTCTAGTGCTGAAATTACAGACACATGCCACCATGCCCAGTCTCAGTGCCCAGCTCAGCATGCTAGGGATGGAGTTAACAAGGCATGTGGTGCCAGGGATCGAACCCCGGTCCCTATGTTTGCCTAAGCAGGTGCTTAGTCTGCTAAGCTATCTCACCTTCTCTCTCTCTCTCTCTCTCTCTCTCTCTCTCTCTCTCTTTCTTTCTTCTTTCTTGCCTTCCTTGTTTCTTTCTCTCATTTCCTTCCTTTCCTTCCTTCCTTCTTTTGCAGTACTGGGAATTGAACATACTGCCTTTCCACTGAACTACATCTCCATCTTATTTTTTATTTTGAGACAGTTACTAAGTTGCTCAGGCTGGACGTGAACTCTAATCCGTCCTGCCTCTGCTGCACAGGTGTGTGCAATCACGCCCATCTGCCTCATCTTATTTAAGGGTTGGCCAATTTACAGATGTGCCCTGCAAACTGAACTGAAAAGAAACTGCCAACATCAGAAAATACCAATAACGTAATAATAATGAAACCTTTTGCTTCAAGGACAAATAGCCTCAAGTGCTAGCGGACACACCAAGGAGGTGAGTGGGGAACACATCTATGCATATGTGCTCCAAAAAGGGTCTTCAGAAGCTTCTCTCACTTCTCTTTTACTGCTCAAGCGCTGTTCTTATCTGGGCCTCCTTCATCCTGTCCAACTCAAAACTCAAAACACAGTTTACTGAAATTCACAGATCCCTCCCCAAGTTGCTGACTGGTCCACAGGACCCCGAACTCAAAGGATCACCAGATTGTTCTTCAAGGAGTGACTCCAGGGGCCGGGGAGATAGCTCAGTAGAATAAGGGCTTGCCTGGCAAGTAGCCAAAAAATACAAAACAAAACAACAACAAAAAAAAACCCCAAATGACTCTTAGGAAAGTGTGCCTCAGGGCACTAGCTATGCCCTTTAAAACCCTGTTCTCCCTTCCCAGGCCTTCTTCCAGCAGGCTGCAATCTGAGGTGGCCTCCCCCAGGCTCTTCTCTGTCCTGGGGGCAGGTGGCATAGGAGGAAATGCCTGAGGGCTCTGACAACTTTCCTGTAGGGGAAAACTGCTGGGCGTGACAGTCAGCAGACCCGGATCTCCCAGTTCAAGGCCTCTGGCTGAGCCAGAGATCCTTCCCCTTGGAAGGGAGCCTGGGTATTTTCCTACTTGTGAGTCCCAAGGCAGGAAAACCCAGGCTCCTTTGCTCCTGGGCAAGGCAAGGTCAAGGTTGGCCCCAGGCCTCTGCTGGGGTGTGAGGGAAGATGACGGCTTGGGTACGCCTGAGGAGCTCCAGCTACTCCATCTGCAGCAGCCCAGTCCAGGTCAGAGAGCAGGACTCCTGCAGAGGCTTCTGCCCGCGGAAGACCAGGCCACAGAGAAAGGAAAGCGCAGCTCCCTGCAGTGCCATCTTAGAGAAGGGCCAGTTCTGGCTTCCCAGTGAGTCGGGTGTAGAGGCTCTGTCACTGGGAGATTCTGCCGCTCAGCAGCCTCTGCGGTCGGTAGGCAGTGCGGTGGACAACACACGGGGCTTGAGCAGCAGTCCCTATCCTGGGAGTGCAGGGGAGCCCTCCCCAGAAGTGCTCGCCCTCAACGGATCCTAGGTCACCTCCCTTAAATGAAGTACCCTTCTGCTACCAGGCCTCCTGGATGGGGAAAGGGAGGTCTGGGCTTCCACCGGTGTGTGGGTAAAAATTGCCTGTGTCTTAGGCAGGACAGGGCGTCTAACAGATCTAAACCAGCCAAACAGAAAGGCACCCTCCTGATCACACCCTGAATCTAAGAACCTGTGTGGAAAGCTCTGCTTGTGTGTGTGTGTGTGTGTGTGTGTGTGTGTACGTGCGCGCACGTGCACCACATACACAGAGGCAGGGATGAGAGTAAGAAGTGCTACTTCAATCCCACTTAAAGCAAACTTTCACTTTATAAATGCTGCAGCTGGATGTGGTGGCCAGGCTTACTGAAATCCAGATTGCTCACACTCATAGTCTAGCTCACAGGAGGCTGAGGCAGGAGGATCACAATGAGCTTGAGGACAGCCTGGCTACACAGTGAGTTCAAGGCCAGCCTGAGCTACAGACACTGCCTGCCTCAACAACTGTGTGGTCGATTACTCCTTAGGATGTCTAGGGCACTGTCCTAAAGTGCTTTTCAGACACCCCTTTCGGCTTTCCAGCACTTTCCAAGGTGGATGTCATTTTTCTATTTTACAGATGAAGAAATTAAAAGCAGGAGATGATTTACAGGGTGAGAATCATAAGAAAGGTACACCACCAAAGTGCTCTGGACACACAGGAGGCCGAGGACAGGTGTGGCTTGGAGGTGGCAGAAATGTCTCCAAGCGGGGCTGGAAGAAGAGTAGGTGACACCTGCGGTGCCCTCTCCTGCCTGTCTTTGGGGAAAACTGAGCATCAACACTTGTTCTGCTATTTACCTTAATTTTCAAGTCACGCAACTAGTCTTAGAATCCAGCTCCTCACCCATACACTGGGTTGTGGTGACTACAGAGAAACCGTATGAAAAATGTTCATTGCATCAGGAACCTGGAGGGCATCAGGTAGCTGTCAGCTATTCCTATTAATAATACTAACAACACTACTGATTGTGCAGATTATCACCTATGCCTAGTACTGCGGATTGAACCTAAGGCCTCTGTACTGAGCTACATCCTCAGCCCTTTCTATTCTTTAAAAAAAATTTACTATTTCTCCAGCTGCCAGCAGCCCACTCTCCCTGCCCTAGGCCCTGCCCCTGGCCCCCCCAACTGCCCCCCTGAGCCCTGTTTTATTCTGTAAGAAGGGTTTCACCAAGTTGCTAAGTTGCCCGGGCTAGGCCAAGTTTGCAATCCTCTTGCCTCAGCCTCCCAGGGTCCTGAGTTGCAGGTGTGTGCCACCGTGCCATCCAGAATTCACATTTGAATCACATTCTACAGTACCACCGCTGTGCTTCGCTGACTAGACTGCGAGCGCAGGCTTGGCAGGAAGGGCGTTCATCATGTAACTCTGGATCCAAACTGCACTCATCGTTGTACTGAGCGAACAAAAGCCCTCAAGGACCCGGCGTCCAACGTAACACCCCAAGTGGCTGGCCTCCTCACAGGGCCCGCCACCGCAGGGTCAGCTCCTTGGACCAGGTTCAAGGGAGTAACTGCGGCCAGCCTCCCACTCTGAAATCCAGCAGCCTGGATGAATTGTGTTCAGGCTGGAGAGGAGCAGGTGGAACCTGAACAAAGCACAGTGCTTCTCCGGATGCTAGAATCAACATCCTCCCTGGAGGGATGCTATGGGCAGACGTCATGGGAGAGTGGGCAGGAGGAAGCCACAGCCTTCGCAGATGCTTCATGAGAATCAGACTTACCAGCCCCTCACTCCATCTACTCACGCATGCAACTCTGCCCAAACAATGAAACTAGCCGAGCTTTCTGAATAGCACCCTCCACCTCTGCAGTAAACTGGCCTATTCAGAAAGCACACAAGGCCTTGGGCGAGGGTGAGGCAGGCTTTTTTCTTAACGACCTTTAAAACATTTCCTAACGCTGGATTTCTTCTAGGTTCCAACCTTTCCTACTAGCCTTCTCTTTCCAAGTTCTGTCTGCCTTGCTGTGTGAGTTTGATGATTCCCATTAAAACCAGTTTTATGTCCGGACGGGAATAATTAAGGGATTTGCTACCACTCACACTGCAAGAGGGCTGCTGCCCCAGGGGACAGGGCCCACAGTCCCCCCTCTCCAGCTCCTCCAGCAAGCACACTGTCTTCAGAAATCCTCATCCACGACTCATGCATTCTGTGTGCGGGAGCTGACCTTTAGCGTGTGGCGGGGGTGGAGGCAGCCTACCTCCCGATGAAGTCACCACAACAGACCCGTACTGAGAGCTAATTAGGTAGGTGGAAACTGCTCAGACACAGATGCGGCAATAAAGGGAGTTTCAAAGAACTTCTGCGGGCTAAGCATTTGAGCTGACATTTCTCTAAAGGCTTACAAATGGCCAGTGAGCCTAAGAAAACACGCTCAGTGTCACCAAGCATCAGCCAAGTGTAGCTGGAAGCCTCCTTTAGGTATTACTTCACGTCCATTAGAATGGCTGCTCCCCAAAACAAAACCCAAAAATCCAGACTAATAGTGTTGGGGAGGGGAGGGAGAAAGTGGAGCCCTTGTATACTATTGGTGGAAAAGAAAAACGGCATAGGGTTACTCATAAAAACACTATGCTAAGGGTCGGGGAGATGGCTCAGTGGAATAAGCGCTTCCCTGGCAAGCGCAAGGACCTGAGTTCAATCCCCGGTTCTGCAAAAAAACAAAAAAAAACACTATGCTAGTTCCCCAAAAGCTCAAATACAGAGTTACCATATGATCCAGCCATGCCCCACCAGGATATACACCCCAAAGGACTGAAACTGGGGTGTTGAAAAGATATTCACACACTCACGTGCATAGCTGTCTTATTCACAAAATACCCAAAAGGGGAAAAAAGTCTCTATCAATGCATGAAAGGATAAACAAGATGTAGATAAATGCATATATATACAACAAATTGTGTGCCTAGACCCTAAATGATGCCTAGACAACGCTTTCCAAAGGAAGGCATTGGTGATGGACGCTACCCACAGCTGAATCTTGAACATGATACTAAGTGGAATAAGCCAGTTGCAAAAAGACGAACAGGCCAGGGAGATGGCTCAGTAGAATAAGCGCTTCCATGGCAAGTGCAAGGGCCTGAGTTCAATAAAAAAAAAAGACAAACACTACAGGGTTCTACTCACATGAGGTGCTGAGGAACCAAGCCCACACCACAGAGATGAAAAGGAAAAGAGTGGTTTTGGTGGCCTGGGGCAGTGGGGAGTCTGCATGGGTAAGGACTTTCAGCTGTGGAAGATGCTATGTTCAGGAGGTAGGCTGTGACGGGAGTGTGCTGCACACTTTAAATAGTTATAGGAGGGCCAGCAAGACAGCTCAGTGGACTAAGAGCCTCCTTAGGCAAATGCAGGGACCAGGGTTTGATCCCCAGCACCACATGCTGCACCAGCCCTGCCCCCTGGGTGTGGTGGCGCACACCTATAATCCCAGCACTGGGGAGGCTGAAAACAGGAGGATCACTATGAATCCAAGCTACATAATGAAACCCTGCACAAAATACATTAAATGTATACAATAACATAGCTATGGGGTGTGTTTTATGTGATGTGTATTTTACTACAATTTAAAAAAAAATTGCATTTTGGTAAATTCCCCTGGACAAATGAATGTAACATAAGAATAAAGTCATCTTGTGGTTCACAAACTATTTTTGGGAGCCACAACACAAAAACTAAGCAGACACTAGAGCAGAGAGGGCAGAAAGCAAACTCAGCGAGACTCTGCCACTGGAGGCTCAAAAACGGGGAGCAGGTCCTTGAGAAGAGGTGAGTGACCCTCCCTCCCTAAGGCTGCCAACAGGCAAAGGGAGAAACACTGGGGCTTCAGTCTACAGAAGATCTGCCTCAGTAACTGTCAGGCTTATGCCTGGACATCCCCCAACAGCCCCAGAGAAGTCATAGGTGGGGTTTTGAAGAGGTGGCTGGATCTTGAGGGTGTGATGCTGGGATCATGGATGTGGTGCTGGCATGGACTCAGTGCAATGCTGGGATTGAGGCTGCTCCTCCCTGGGTGTGGGTGCTACCTGCCCAGAGTGTGGCTTGGATAAGGTGTGAGAGACAGAAGGAAGGCTGCTGCGGCGGCTGCTGCTGCTAAGGCTGCTGCTGCTGCTTGCTTCCTCTCTGCTTTGCTGCCTCCTGCCTTCTGCCCACCATGAACTGTGTCTTCACTGTGATGGCCTCTGCCTTTGAGCCAGCTGCTAAGGAACGAAATAAACCTGTCCTCCTTTAACCTTGGGTGTCAGGTGAATACAGCTCTCAGCAATGAGAAAACCACACAGGAAGGGCTAGCTCAATGGCTCCAAGAATGCACTAGTGCAGAATGAGGGTTGGACAGCAGAGAAGCAGCTGTGTAGAGTGCCAGGCTGGACTGGATGCACGTGGGTACCAACAGTACTTGTGTACTCTTGCACACTCCTCACCAAGCTGTGGGTAGGGCCCACACATCCCACAGTAGAACCAGGAACTTAAGGCCCTCCTACACCAGGAGAACAAACACATCTATGGACAGTCAGGAGACACGGGACTCCTCACAGCCTTAGGGACAGATGTGGGATCATAAACAGAGGGACTGACAGGTCAGCAAGGAACAGGAAGGAGCCACAGACAGGCATCTGAGGTAGACCTGGGAGCTGTGGCTAGAAGTTCTGGACCCAGAACGTCTGGCTGAGGAAAGTTGAGCGTGGGAAGCAGTAGAAAGCACTTGGGTTTGGGAGCTGTGGAGAAGGTGCCTTCAGAGGGACAGGGCAGGCACACCCAGGGACATCAGAACCACACATGCGCTGCCAGGCTCTGCTGATCAGCACTGGACATGGGGGAGCCCTTCGCTTTCCAAACCCCACCCCTAAGTCCCAGGGGGGCCCTTCCCAGCTGTGGCACACAGCAAGCCAGAGAGCAAAAACCACAGTGAGGAGGAGACTAGAGCAGAGGAAGAGGAGTGAGCTCTGGCACAGCACTCGTCCTGCACAATGGCCCTGAGAAAGGCAAACCTCAGAGAGCAGCGGACACTGGGAATGCTCTGAGTTCAGCAGGAAGGACAGTAGAGCAGACAGGCCGGCGTGACACTGAGGAAAAGAAACGCTCAAGACGACAGAGAAAGAAGACTATTCTCCTTCTTCATGATAAGGACTTGCGCAATTTGTTCCTAATGAGTAGGACTGAAAATCAGCATCATAAACACCCTGGCTGTCGCTCCTACACTGTGTTTTCATATGTAACTTCTGCACACCACACTGAGTTATTCTGTCCTGTGAACTTTTCTGTCTCTTTCCGAATAACATTTGTTATTGAATAATTTTGTTTATTGAACAATTCTTGTTTTTAAATGCCTCTGGGGAAGTAGTTCCCACTCAGGTGAGTCGGCACTAGTTGGAATGGCCAAAGTAAGTAACTGACGCCCTCCACAGACCCGGGTCTTTCCAATCTGAGTGGGTCCTGGTGCTTTCCCAAGTGATCTCCAATTTGTTAGAAAATGTTCTCTTTGTACATACGCAGCGCTCCCCGCCCCAGAGCCGTGCTTCTGTGGGGAGGCTGGCACCACTGAAGCTGTAAGCAGGCCCGCTATCTCATTAAAGGCTGCCACTCTCCCCCCACCCCATGTCCTCGCCAGGGCAGCAGGACAGGAAGCTGAAACGTGGGGCACTAGGAAGGAGAACGGCGTACTGCGGTGGGAAAAACAGCAGTTTGCCTTCAAAAGAACCAACTAAAAAAAAGCTCCTGAAATGAAGAAGCAAGTTCAAGAAAACAGACAAATGCTAGGTAATTGTTCAAAGCTCCATAACCTTCTAACATCTTGGCAGCAATTAATTGGGAGTATATAGTAGGCTATCTGTGCTGTAAAAAAGGGGGGAAAAAAACCTTACTAAGCCCCCTTCAAATTTGAGCCAGGCGTGGTACCAGGCGCCCACAGTCCCGGCACTCTGGGAGGCTGAGACAGGAGGAATGAAGATACAAACCTTAGTGACTCAGTAAGTCTCTTGCAAGAAAAGCTGGTAATGTGACTCAGCAAAAAGATCCTGGGTTCAATTCCCAATACCAAAAATAAAGTTAAAAATTCCATCAAACATATAGGAAAATGGGCTGAGGATGTGGCCCAGTGGTACAGCACCCATCCAGCACCTGTGAGGCTCTGGGTTCCACCCACAGTGCCCCCAAAAGAAAAAACAGACCCACAGAGACAGGGTCTCCCCATGTTGTCCAAGCTGGCTTTAGACTCAGCAATCCTCTGACCACAGCCTCCCAGGATGCTGGGATTACAGAGGTGCCACCAAGTCCAGTTTGGGAAAATATTTTAAAGCACAAAAACACAAAAGAAAGCTACAAAATAACTGTAGAAAAAAAAACAGAAAACGTTAAGACAGTTCCAATTAAAAACTGCAGTGGCCTTCTTTGTGTGAGTACGCATGGGGGACAGTGATTTTTGACCGGTATGTCTCCCAAGATTCTCTAAGAGAAGAGCTGAGAAACACTTTGCTTTTTTCATAGTATATGAGGAATGACCTTTTAGGCTGGATATTAAAAGCACTGTCATGTAAAAGCACAAAAGTTTTTTTAAAAAAATTTTCAACAGACAAAAGTATGGCCAAGCATCTTAAGAACATGATCAGAACACATAAAAACATAAACTATAAAACTGCAAACCATCCTGTCACTGCAAGAAAGTTACTTGTCTGTCAAACGAGAACTGACATTGCAGACAACTGACTTACACACAGACCCTGAGGACAAGCTGAACACCAAAGCACCTGCAAATATAACAGCATCAAAAAAAAGCAATTGCATTGCCTCTTCCCCCCACCAGATGGCGCCTTGAACTCCAAAACTGAGTATTCAAGCAGCCAGACCCTTCCAATGCTCCAGAGCCCGCCAAAGCACCGCGGGGATCCCAGAAGGCGGGCAGGTCTGACTGGGTGAGAGAAGGGGGTGCGGGGGATGACTTACACAGCTGGAGGTCTTGTTTAGTTCCAGGCAGATGCTGTGAGTCAATTTCACTTCTTTAATTCCTACACATTTGATTTCGCCCTGTATTAAAACAAAAACAAGGTAAATATACATGGCTATCTTTGCTCTTCTTTCCTGAAACAAGCCCTTTCCAGTCTGATTTCCCTCAGGCACTCTCTTTAGAAGTATTAGGAAAAGGGAAGCCAGCAAGATAGCTCAGCAGACTAAGCGCCTGCTCAGTGGACTAAGCGCCTGCTTAGGCAATCTCAGGGACCCGGGTTCGATCCCTGGCACCACATGCCACGCTGGCCCTGCCCCCCAGGCACACTGAGCAGGCCACCAAGTCCAGGAGTGGGGGCACACGCCTATAATACTAGTGCTGGGGAGGCTGAAAACAGGAGGATCACTACAAGTCTGAGCTGCATAGCGAGACCCTGTACCAAATGCATGGGGGGAAAGACGTTTTAGGGAAAGGGAAATTCTAAAATGTGCTAGGGGACAAGAGGTTTTTCATAAAAACTGAACATCTCTAACTCCAAAATCCAAAATCGGAAATGTTCTAAACAAAACTTTTTGAGTGTCAACACGATGCCATGAGCAGGAAATTTCTATGCCATGACACTTGGTTTCTGCACAAATTTACTGAAAACTACAGTATACCATTATGTCCACCCTCAGTGCATGACGATGCACCGTTAGGGCACATACATGAATTTTATGTTTTGACTTGAGGCTCAGCCCCAAGACATTTCATTACCTATCTTCAAATATTTCAGACTTTTAGGAACCGCCAGCCTAAAACCTTTCCGGTTCTGAGCATTTTGGACAAGGGACGTTAGCTTGTCTATACCTTCTTCCACCTGCACTATCCCACCAATAATCAAATCTTTTGTTACCTGCCCGGGCTTGCAGGAAGTGACTATTTGCAATCTTGGTAAACACAGGCTTATGATGCACACGCATGGGCGAAGGATCTTTTCCCATTTGAACTGTTTTCCCTCAACTCAGCTACACACTGGCAAGAAGGCCACCATCTAGGCAAACTGATAATGAGGTGGCCAGACTGACTTTACTATAGTGACTTTAAAAACAGATACCTGGCCCCTCTTTAAACTCCACACCCTCAGGCTGTTGACAGCTACAACCTCAAGGCCAGGAGGCCAGGCTGAGCTCACCGTCTCCGTGCCCAGTTCCTACCCGGGCCAGTGACGTCTGCCCAACCTCTCCACACCTGGCACAACCACCAGTCTCTCCCTGTTGGAGGAAGCACTGTCATAAACACCTTGGGAAGGCCAGCTCCATTAGGAGGGGAGAGATTCCAGATTCCCCAAGTGAAGTGGAGCATGGCAGGAGCCACATCCATGGGTCCTGAAGGGTCCACAGATGACTGGCTGACCTCTGAGATTCTTTTAACTTTTTATTTCCCAAAGCACAGCTCAGCCTGCCTCTGGACTCCATCTCTTTCTTGGCTTTCTGTGCTTCCAAACAATACTGAAGTGTGTGCTTCCATGCAGATCCCCAAGTGACCCAAATCTCACTGGCCAGTGGGAAGGAGGTAAGGAGCCTGGCTGCATACTGATGAAGTGAGGGGCATCTGGAGCTCCACTGACCCACCTTGGTGGCACTTGGGGCAGATGTGTAGAGCTTGGTGGGTGATGTCATCTCAGGGCTGGTGGGGGTGAGAGAATCATCGGAAACATTGACAGATGGCGTGCTGCCGGGACTCAAGGTCACATTTGGAGCGGAAGTATTTTCTGTGTTGGTGAGTTCTGTGGTACTGAACACTGTGGTGTTTAGAAAGATCTGTGATGGGATGGAAGCGTTTGTGGGTTCAGAGACCGGAGTGGTTCCAGAGGTAGACGTGACGTTGACTATTCCTGAAATAGACCAAGCACATGTACATAAACATGAACACACAGATGACAGATCTTCTCGGTTCACCATGGCGGTGTGGACATCTTACCCAGAAATGAAGTGTGGTGTGCTAACAGTTACTTCATGTCCTACCCCGGGCAGAACTCATTCAAGCCAACTCTTAGAGCCGCAGCTACAATCTAGTCCTCCCCGCGCCCCAGACTCTGAAGAGATCCAGCTGCCCCTCTGCACTGGAGGAGTCAAAGACAGGCCCAACCTCCTTCCTTTAAAAGAGACCAGAACTTCTCCATGGGGCCCTCATCCAGTATTTATGTTAATACAGCTGAGGTGGGCATGTGAGGAGAGGTACAGGGGGCGTTACGGTTCAGAGCCAGCGGCCACAGCACTGGCCTGGGGAAGCTGTCAGGACAGGAAGAACCACCTCAGACCTACTTGAGGTTCCCCGGAATGACACTCACAATGCTGCTACAGGACTACGAGGGTTCCGTGTGTGGCAGGCAACAGCCTGCAAGCACTCTCATGCCGCTGCTCTATGACGGGAGGCGCAGCCCCCTTTACCTGAGATGGCGGCACCTGTGGTCCCCGTGCTGTCCAAAGGGCCATAGGAGGTGGTGGTACTTTCAAGGGTCAGTGGCGTTGTGGTTTCCGGGTGGGATACAGTGGTGGAAACAGATGAAGAAGATCCATTCAAGGTGGACCCCTCTGTGGTGTCAGCAGTCAGGCTGTCATTGGTGAAGCCACAGGCTATAGGAAAACAAGAGACAAAGGTCAGAACATAAACCTTCCTGGAGTCCTATGACATCACTTGATTGGTCACTCGATTTCAGGTAGGACATTCCCTGGGGCCAAACATCAGACCAGCAACAAGAACATATGCCCGGACGGTGGACTAATTTTCTATTCCTAGGTTTTACCTAAGCAAATAGAAAAGCAAACAATTACAAGCACACGAGTGTCTCATGTGATTTTTTTTTTTTAAATGGGGGAAAGTTATAAGCAACAAAAATGAAATAGAACAGGATAAATGATATATGCACTTAAAATGCTGTAATCATTACATAATTATACACATAATTGTCACAAATAAAAATTTATGAAAACTGTAGCAAAATGCAAATATGAAGCAAAGTTCATAATGTGTTTAGTAAAATACAAGTATAAAGTTACATTTGCATAAATTTTGCACAGGTTGAAAGTGTGAGGAAGGACAAGCTTCGATTTTCCCTTCAATGTCTCTCTATTCTGGTCACTGTCTGCCCAGAGATTAGCGCCTGGAGTGACCACACTCACCATAACTTAGTATTTTCACTCCCCTAGAAACAGCCATCTTCATCTTTCATTCCTGGGCGCCTCATCCTTTCCCTCATGCCCACCAACCTGTCTCCTTCCCCTTGGTTGGGCACACTCAACTGTAGCAAGCACCCCGAGTCACTTTTCTTGCTAGCCCTTATGTAGTCCAGGCTGGCCTCAAACATTGGGTGGTTCCCCTGCCCCAGCCTTCTGGGTGCTGGGATCACAGGAGACCACCACCTCGCCCAACTTCCGAGGCTTCCTCATAGGAGTCCTTGACCCAGGAATCCTGTTGCGGGACTGGAGATGGAAGGACTGGTTTTTCATCAAACATGGAATGAAGATAGCACTGTTTGGGCTCTTCCAGTAACTAATTATGTGATTTAAAGTCTGTCTGCCTCAGAGTACTTACTTTTTTTTTTTTTTTTTTTTTTTGGCAGAACGGGGGATTGAACTCAGGCCCTTGCGCTTGCCAGGGAAGCGCTTATCCCACTGAGCCATCTCCTTGGCCCCCGTACTTACTTCTTAAATAAGGGTCTTTTCTGTCTGCTTTACACATGTTGTTTGGGAAATCAGTGAGATAGTAAATGCGAAATTACCATAGTAGAGCGCTCCTGGGCTAGCCAGTCTGGAGATCTTCATGATTCCTTTCCCCTTTCTTGCATATACTGGTTTTAAGAGGCAGGAAGACTTCTGCCTGCACACTGTATCTTAGAGTGCCCAGGCCCCACCCCACCTTCTGTGAGGACAACTGTGTCTTCTAGGTCACGCCACGATCAAGTCCTGGAACTTCTCATCCACATGGCTTTAGTGCTTGCATCCAGCTCCTGTGGGGAGCTTTCCTCCAGCCCACCCTCCCAAAGGGAGCCCCCGGGAGCAGCATGCAGCTTCAGGGTGTGTGTCCCAGGCTCCACAGTGGCCAGCGGTCAGGTCAGCTGCTTGCAGGCAGCAAGGTTAGTACTCAGGTGTGCAGCTGGGGGATCTTGCATGCATGCAAGGTGCCCCGAGTCTGGTCCTTGGACCTGTCTCGTCCAGAGTAGCCACACTGTGCACTGAATTCCAAAAGCATGAGAGGCCCAAACTCAAACCTGGCCTTCTAAGTGGCAAGAAGGTAGAAGGTTATTTCATCTATCAGCTACCAGGCTGGACTTGTGATAGCAGCTACAAAGACATCTACGTAGAAGCAGGGTCTCTGTGGCATTCTGACCTTGGACTCTAAAGAAGCCATGACTAGATTTGTTATCCAGAGTTGATCTTAAGGTACTGTCTGCAAGGAAGGGTGCTGGGCCCGAGGACACCCTAAAGCTTGTCTCTAAATTATCTCCATTAAGCATGTAGGTGTTTTCTCCCCACGTTTTCCAGGTAAACAGCAGGACAGAACAAAGACTTGTTTTCCTGAGCACCAATTAAGTGGAGACCAAGAACCCTTCCTTACAGGTAATGACAGGGTCTCACTTTCCCCAGCCTGCCCCTCTCCCCCACCAACTGGCTGCAAAGAGACTGACGTCAACAGGGAAGACAGTAACCACATCGTCATCTTATGTCAGGTGAGGAGGAGGAGGAAAGAGTGGCATTACTATTGCTGTCTCAGAGATGAAGAACCAAAGCTGCCAGGTGCTGGGCAGGAGGGAAGGGCACGAACCACACCAGGCGAGAGGCAGTGTACACTGGGGTTTAGCTTCATCTTGGGTAGATAGTGGCAAGGGAGTGAGGCTGGGTCAGAACTGCCAGGATCAGGGTGTGTCCTCCAACCATGAGAGGAGACGATGGGCGCATTCGCAGGTGGCTTCCATGGGAGATGGGCTGATCAAACTAAAATAGCTGGAGAAGTCAACCTACGCTACTTCCTTCTTTAGATAGTCACCTCTCCAATCTGACTCCAAGATAGGGATTTATTACAAGCCCAGGTGGAGGTAACATTAGGACACTGGATTAAAGGATCATGCTTCCAAGACACCCCAGGAATCCCCTCTCTTCAGGCCAGGCCCTCCCTCTTCTCAAATACATAGATTCCTGGGAATCCCATCTGGCTCTGTCTGGCCCCACCCTCTTCCCTCTCCAAAGGAAGCTGGGCCTGGCCGAGATGATGTCATACTTAGAACCCCCTCCCCCAAGGGGCTTCCTTCACCCAGACAAACACTTCTGAACTTTTCCAGATGTGAAGAAAGCCTGTAGCTAGTTCTGAAGACAGAGGTGCCTGTTCCAGAAGAATGAAGCAACTGTGGTTCCCACCAGCTGCTGACCTGCTGAGGACGGGCTCCCCACTGCAGCCGCCTTGTCCCTCCCACCACACAGCCAGGCACAGAGGAAAGGGTAGCCGGATCTGTATGCAAGCAAGAAGGGAACTCTATCCTCAGTCACTGCTCAGAGCCTAGGGTGAGCAAGAGAGGCTTCTAAGGCCAGGGGCAATGGGACAGAGGGGAAGCGCAGGAAGGCAAGGCTAAAGGCCAGGTTAAGTGTCAACTGGCACAGGCAGGGCTGAGAGGTGATGTGCGCTCCATCTCATAGTGCTCAGGTGAGCAGGTGGGTCTGGAAGGAAGGACACCCTGCCAGGCGAGACTGGTCGCTTCTTCCCATACACACGCATGGCCTGAAAAGTGAGCCAGCCTCCCTTGATATCTGAGCCTCTGATCCCCAGCTCTGAGGGGGTGACACCAACCTACAGGCAGTGCGAGCCTGCTGGATGCTGACAGCCAAGGAGGGAAGCTCCACTCCACCCAACTCCACAGCAGCACCACTCACGCCTGCCCTGTAATGAACCAGGACGACAAACAGCTGAACGGAGTGCTGCTGCCACCTGTCCTCCTTAGCTGCGACACCAAAGGACTCGCCATGACTCTAGTTATCCCTACACGATCTCATCTCTTAAATGTGAAGGGAGGAGGCCAAGGTATCAGGGCATCAGCAAATGGAGATTCCAAGAGGCCAAACAGAAGGCACAGTGCGTGTAGTAAAACGCGCACACTGGTCCTTACAGGTACTGTTCAGAGGCACACAACATCCAGCAAGTGTGGCGATCTGATGTCCTAGCCAAAGCTGAAAATTCAGAAGAGACTATGAAAAACAAAAGTAATAGCTAGAAACTTAGAAACCAAAATAAATGAAAAACAGATACTGGTCTGGAATCATTTACTGCAAGAGTGAATAAATGTACACACCTTACTAAGCATTAAAGATGTCACTGAATTGCAAGGCCTTTGCACTGAGCCAAATCACCAACCTTTATTTATTTATTTATTTATTTATTTATTTATTTATTTATTTTCTTTTGGAACAAGCTGTTGCTAAGTTGCTAAGTTGGCTGGGCTGCTCTGGAATCGATGGTCCTCCGCCTCGGCCTCTTGAGAAGCTGGGACTTGGGAGAACCTCACCACACTTGGCATGAGTCATTTGCCTGAAGGAGTCCCTGAAGTCTCAGGCAGAGCTCAAGCCCTCAGGAGGGAAGCTGCGTGGTGGGGAACAGAATGGGCTGGGAAACAAAGGGTGTATCTGCACGGCAGGCAGGCAGCATTCAAGTGCTTCTCTACCGTGAGTTCCAGGCCAGTCCCAGATACACAGCGAGTTTAAGGCCAGCCTGGACAACACAGTGAGACCCTGTCTTGGAAAAAAAAAAAAAATCAAACAAAAACAAATACTTTTCTCCCAAGTGCACCACTTGGAAAGTCAGCTTATTAATCTCTGTAAAGCTCTATGAGGGGAGTAAAAACAGGGCCCGCCCCTCCCAGTCATCCTGAGGAACCAAGGAGGCTGCAGTGGGCCTGTCTGGGGAGCACTGAGAGCCCTGGGGCCCGTCCCCGCTCAGCACCTTTCTTTGCTCCTCAGAGAACTGAAGGAAGACTTATCTCGCACGTCCATCTGGCACACGCGCGGATGCCGTTTCCTCCCTGTAAGACCGCACACATGGGCTCCTGCTCCACCAGGCTCTCTGGGGTCCTCGTGTGTCACATGCAGCCCTAGCACAACCCAGGGAAGCAGGATGTGCGGCAGGATGAGCAACACCGTGCTGGGCGTGGTCAAGGATACAGGGTCTCATTCTGATCCTGTTTAAGAGGAATTTCATTAAACTGGGCTGTCCATGAAAAATGACCAGGAGACTCTACAAAGCGACAAAGTAGGACTGATGGATGAATCCAGCACAGGCCAGTGAGAGAAGTGTTACAAGTCTCAGAGACCACATTTGGCCCCCAAGACCTAACATAGTTATTCAGTGGTTTTTTTTTTTTTTTTTTTGGAACCGGGGACCTAACATAGTTATTGGATGGCCTTCCATAAGAGAAGTGTGCTGACCCATGATCTGAAAAAGAATTTAGAGAAGGAGAATAAATGACTTCCTTAGAGAGTCACTTCACTTAACACATGATGTGTGCTTTTCTTTTGTAGGCACCAATGATGGGCCAGGGGTCGCGCCCAGTCCTACAGAGAGCACAAAATCAGAGCCAATTCCAGCCCTTCTCTGCAGTGGGCACTAGTGCCACTGTCATTAAATAAATTCCTCAAGGAGCTAATAATCCAGCGGGGCCTCAGTGGTCTTTAGGAATTTTTAGGAAGGATCTGATTAAAACTGTAACAATACAAATCATGGAATTAGAACAATGCTTAGAAATTATAGGAAGGCTAATTCCACTACAATACAAAGGGGAAAAGACAAATGTTACTTTCTAAAAAGGATGAGTTTTGTGAGACCCCTCATCCCCCACCTCCACAAGCATTCAAGAAGTGCTCCCGTTAGGGAAGACGCTGGGTCTACTACAAGCCTGGGTCTATCACAAGCCTGAGTCGTTTTGGAAATAGACGCGAGGTGCATGGTTTTCCAGTTTCAGAGGCTAAACCGGGGTGAGGTGAGGGTAAAGCAAGTGTCTGTGCCTGGACGCCATATCCCACGGCTATCCAACATCCCAAGGACTCACAGACTGCCTGCGTTGCCCACTCACCTCCTCCTCCATGTCCTAGTCCTCCAACTCCTGGGGTGAGGCCCAAGGCCTCCCCATGCTGCACTTACTGTACCATGAGCTCACCAAGCACCCATGCCACCAGGCCAGAGTGCATGGACACGAGAGCAAGGAGTACAGGGCAGTGCAAAAGGAAACAGCATTACCTTGTCAGGTGAGACACTGCGCCCTAGGGAAGCAGGGCCCTGAGGGATCTCCTAGCCAGCTCTTTTCTTTCCTTCTCCTGTCTCTCTTCCTTTACTGGTGCAGGAACCTCCTCTTCCCTCCTCCACTTCTCTCCCTGGGTTCCAAAGCATTTGCCTGTCTCCCCAGGCCACCCAAACACAAGGTCCACTTCATCATCCACAGCAGTCTGGCCTCCTGTGAGCCCTTGCACGTTGGGGTTTTTCCAATTCTTACCCACAGACCTACTAACACATTTTCCTAAACAATAGAGCAAGTTTCTTAGAGATGCCACTCCCCTAAGAAGTATACTTTTTTTATTATTATTATTTTCCCAAATCAGGAAGAAGCAGACTTCCCCCTTAAGCCAGTAGGTCTTTTCCTTTGCCTATGAAGGGAAGTGATTCATTCCCTGATGGGGTCTGGTGCTCAGGTCAGCTCTGCCTCCCATTTGTCTGGCTCTCCACCCTTCCAAGACACATCTTTGTTCTTATAACACAAAATCAGGGCCCTTGAAACTAAATATCATAAGAACGTGTTTTCATTTCTTAGCTAAGGAGGGAAGAAAATATTCTCAGTGGAAAAATCAAAGCCTTAAAAATATGGAAATAATGCCCTGAGGACTGTGAGGATTTCTCCTGGAGGGTGGTTTTTGGTTCTATTTGCCATACCTTCATATTTATAGTTCTCCACACTGTAGGACATTTAGTGAGAAGTTAGTGAGAGAGGAAGCCCAAGTACCCCGAGAGTCCTGATGCCCAACCAGCTCCAAACCAAGCCAAATCCAGGTCCTCCAGCTCAGGGCTGAAATGAGGAAGGCTGGAAGTGGATTTGTTCCTCTCTGTTACTTGTTTTTGTAGGGCTCTGCTCCCAAGTTTATCTGCTGCACTTCGGCATTTCTTGCCCGTTTGTGGAGACAAAGACTTGGAAAGGAAGAAGATGAAGACAAGTGAATAAGGAGGTCCAGGAGGTGGAGCCAAATGGATAAGAAAAGCCGAACAAACAAATGGGAATGCTGCTGGAGACAGCGCTTGCTTGCAAAGGTTGTGCCTGCTGGGTTGGCCTTACAAGGGGGAGCCCTGGTGACCACTGAATTAGTCAGAGGTCCCCAGGGCTGCTGCTCCTGGTTGATGTCGCCATGTGGCAGAGAGTCAAAGGGCGGAGTCCTCTCCCCTCTGGAAAATAGCTGATAAAATTCTTTTCTCCTTTATTTTTCCCCTCTTACATGTAGCCTCAGACAGGATATGGGTGTGGGGTCAACAAGCACAAAGGACTCAAAGGAAGAAAAGGAATATGACCATGCAGGCCTGGGGGTTTTGTCAGGGTGATGGGACAGACTGGCCTTTGGAGAGCCTAAAGAAAGAGACTTGATGATTCCTCTTAGGGCTCCATCCCAATGGGGCTGTGTAGTGGTGCTTGATGGACCCCAGCCCTGACCCTGACTCTGATCTATAATCAAACTCTCTCCCTACAAAAAGAATCCACTTGTGATCAGCCTTTGGGTCTTAGCATGAGCCAACACCTCAAAGGCACAGAAGAGAGAGCCCAGGTATGTTCTTTGTTGGGGTAGTGATAAAAAACACAGAACCCCTTTCTGCATTGAATTTCCCAACAATCACAGAACCCACTGTTGCAATGCCTACTGACCGTTTTTCAAGGGACAGTCAGTCATTTCATTTGCTCCAAAATGCACCCCAGGTCAGAAAACAACTCCTAGCGTTATGAACAAAACACACCTAAACACTCTGCAGAGCTCTCCTACAAGACACAAAGCTCTTAGAACTGGCCCAAGTCATCTGGCAAGGTTGAGCTCAAGGACCCACTCTTGGCTCCAGAGCCAAGTCCACAAAGTTCTCAGTTATCTTTGCCCAGTTTTGTAGAAGCTTCTCCACAGGCCAAGGTGAGACTGCAGCTAACTGCCCAGTTTGGGGAAATAAGGGAGCAGTGGGCTTCAACTGCCCAGGCCCGGGTCGTCACAAGCTGTGCAGTCAAAGGAGAGTGCAACATGGGCCGGGCATCTGAGACCCTGAGCCCCTGCTAACTCCACCTGGCTGTGGGGGCTGACTGGAACCCACGGTAGGGCTTCATGCCCTCAGTACGAGCTTCCCCCTTTCAGAGGACACGCTCTGCGCTGCCACAATCCACCTAAACCTCAGTGGGCAGCCCCCAGCCACTGCCAGCAAAGGAGATGGGGAGCAGAGTTCAGGTGGGTGGGTCCAGGTTGCCCTGCAGGTCCACCACCGTGGGTGGCCTCTTCCTCCAGGAAAGTGGGAGCCCTAGAGGGTGAGAAGCTAAAGAAAGGAAAGGTTACAGAATTCCAAGCCTCTAGGCGCTGAGAGAGGGTAGCTTCCAATGTGCCTATTGCTTTTTTTTTTTTTTTTTCTTCCTTCTCTTGTCGAAGTGAGACTGGGCTTAAGAAATAGGCGTAGGTGTGCGCAAGCCGGGAGTGTCCTGACCTGTCCACTAGCTTTAGAACTTGGCGGGGTGGCGAAGAGCACTCCCGGAGGTAATAAGCTGGAGAATGCGCAGGCATCTGAGAGGCAGGGAGAAGAGGGAGGCGGGTGTGGACCGTGCTCTACTACCGCCTCCCCTCCTGGAGGATCTGCGCGCTAAGGACAGGAGCGATTCCAATTTAGCTTTCTGATTTCCACTGCAAGGCTTCCGCCCCGCAGGGACTGTTCCCCACCCAGACTCCTCTGCTCTCCTCTCTCGGCTTTCCTCCCAGCCTCCGGCTGTTGGACCCTGCGCCGCACCCCTGGTTGGCTTCCCTCGCGTCCCTCAATGTTCACTCCGGGTTCCCGGGCCGTGAGGGCCTGTGGGCGCCTGGGCCCTCCCCAGCACCCCACGCTCCCCTCTGGGCGCTGCTTTCGGAGTCAACCCGCGCAAACTTCCCCGCTTCCCTCCGCGCCCTCCAGGTACTGGCTCCAGCTGTGCGCGGCGCACCTCTGGCCCCGCCGGCGCCGCGGGCATCTCGAAAGTCCGTCCTTTTGATCCAATGAAGCGAGTCCAGGCTTCCGCGGCCGCGCGGTGCCGACCCTACCCGCCCACCGCCCCAGTCCCAGGTGAGGCGCGGTCGCTGCCGCGCAGGCGTGAGCGTGGGTGTCGCCGGGTCCCTTCCCGCGCGCAGCTCGTAGCCCCAGCCCGGCCCGGTCCCGGCCCCGTACTCACGCAGCAGGCTCAGCAGGCAGAGCGCGGCGCAGCCCCACGGCACCCCGCGCCCCGCGCGCGCGCCCCTGCGGACCAGCATCCTCCCGCGCCGAGCCGCCCAGGAGCTGCAGTGAGCTGCGGCGCCGCCCGGACGACGTCTATCCGCCCCTCCCCCGGGAGGGGCCCGGGTGGGGGTCCAACCCCTCTCCCCTCCCCCTCCCCCTCCTCTGGTTGGGGCGAGGCGGGCCCCTGCCTTGGCTGCCGCTGGCCGCCCTTCCAGGCTTGCTCCCCAGGCGGAGGCGGCAGTGGGAGCTGGGGTTGCACCGCCGCCGTCGAGGCCAGGAGAGGTGGCAGTCTGAGTACCCTGGGAGCCCGCTCCGCTTTCTGCGGCGGCCCTGCAGGGTCCAGCAGGACCTTCCCTCGCTTAACCCCTGTGTTAGCCTGACCACCACTCCTCTGATCTGAGCCGCGCCCCTTTCCTTATGCTTGTGTTTCTTTTTAAGTTTTAAACTGTTTATAATAACTATCTTGGGGAAGGAGTACACTGTGAAGGTCTGAGTTTACAAATGGGAGCGTTTTGATAGTCAGATAAAATTCACCACCTGCCTAGAGGAGCTCACCGAACGCACGTCAAGGTACAGGCTTTGTTGACCGTGAGCTGGACACAGAGTTGACCGCGATCACCCATCCTGGCAATCCAGTCCGTCCTTGTAGACTTCCTTTCCACTTCTTTTTCCACTTCTTACCCTTCCTACAAGATCTACAGCACTGGACTGATTTGGAGGATTCTCATCCCCTGTAACTGACGGCACTTACTCAACTCTGCTGAGGGAAAACGCTATGGTTATGAGACAAGGAACTCCCAAAACTCTAGTTCCAAAGCCCTCTCCCCAGTCAGCCTCTCTCCAGCCCTGATTCAGGCTTCTGGGGTTCTTCTTGCTCTTTCTTCAGAAAAAGGACTGGATGTTAGATGTCAAACGCCCAGAGTTCCCATCATGGGCCCACATCCTGGAGGATTGAAGCCTTCAACAGAGAAGTTAGGAGACTTCACAGTCAACCAGGGAGAGCAGGGGGCTGGATGGGAAAGGAGCCAGGCTGGGCAGATCCCGGCGCCTGGTATCAGTGGGGGAACATGCTCTGATTGCTGGCAGCCAAGCCAGACAGAAATTAATACACAGTCAGAGAGGAACGGGCTCTCAAGGAAGTCAGCAGTAGGAATAAAGATGTCAGAATTGTGCCTGGAGGCGCCTTCGAAAAAAAGCAGGCCTCAAGACACAGATGATGTAGCCAGGCCTACATACCTCCCTGAGGGGTAAGCAGTAATTTGAGATTATATTATGATCAGCACCACACCCCAGGTGGGTGTGTGACCAGCTCCCATCTCTTCCCCAAAGTGGCTTTATTCTTTCCAAGTACCCTCTCTACAAGACTCGTTTTCCTGTTAGGTCAGTATTAGCAAAGAAGCTTTTTTTGTAATACTGTAGGTTGACTGTAGGCTGATCCATGTTGTACCCACGTTGTGACTATGTTGTGTGAGTTAGTCCTGACAAAGGGCCTCAGTGGTCACCCTATTTGGGACCCCTCCTGGTCCCCTCTTCTTTGGTTCTTGACTGAATTCATTCCTCCATGCTGTGGGACCATGAACTCAACACATTTGGCATCTAGCAGGTCAGGAGTTCTATTTCTTCTGTATCAATACCAAGGCAGGGAAAGGAAGGTCAGACCAGAATTCTGGAATCCCTTCTGAATTACTCCTCTGTAAACATCCAGACATTAGGAAAGCAGGTCCATCTTTAAGCTTCGACTTATTAGACTACAATGTATAAACCCTAAAGCTTGCTATTCTGATCTGATTGCCTAATATTCCCTTAAATAGAGAACAAAGCTTTTCATCACGTGACAAAATGCAAAGCTTAGGTATGCAAATGTGACTGAAAACAATGGCGTGGTATGAGTTTGTGTGAAAGCGCAAATGAAGGTTTCCAAGTGAACATTGTGATCCAGGGATTGAAGCTGGGGACAGAAAGGGCTGCAAAGTGCATTTTTAATTAAGCCTTGGTCTTTGGGAACCCCAGTTAACAAGAACACCATATGCCTTTCATTCTTGCAGCTCCCTCAGCGCCAGAGCAGGGTCTACTTGGGGCACCCAGTGCGAAGTTATAGACAAAATATGGGGTTGTGATCCCTGCTAGATGTGAGAATCAGCTTGATTCAATTGGCTCCAACTTTAATCCCAGAATTTTTTTTCTGGTTACCTCACATGCCATTTGTCTTCTAGAGTTGGACCATGGGAAATGGAAACCTAGAAAACTTCTCTCTCCTGCTTGAACTTCTTAACTACCTTTGGGATCAGAGAGAGAATGATTCAGAGGAGCAGAGTTTCTCCAAGCACAGTCCTCACAGAGTGGAATCAAAGGTAAAGGCCAAGAATCTCAACTTCTGAGAAGCATTTTCTATGATTCTCACACACACTAACAAGCCCTGCTATAGAAACAAAAAAGATAGGGGTCGAGTGGATGGCAAGGTTCCAGAGGGAAAATAAAGGGGCAAGCATGGCATACAGGACATCTCTCGCTTTGGGAAAGGAGAACTGTCTTTCTGGCCTGTAATGCTATTTGGATGGAATGGAACTCTAGAGCTACACAAGACAGGCCATGCTATGTGCCTTCCTGGCTCCCCAAATCTCATCACCCCAACTTTTACATCTTTACCCCAGGCTCTCACAGCTTGGGTTCTGGCCACTGGAAAAGCTCTCTGAGGGACTCAGCCTTGTTCTCTCACAAGCCAGACAGAGTTGAGCTTCCACAGTTCTCCAGAGCACCCATCATTTTTGACTGCACACTGCACCTCTGGCTTCCACTCCCATGTCTAAGGTTTTGTTAGAAGAGACTGTGAGCAGCACTAACCATGGAGGGTACAGTAGAATGTACCAATCAAGAGGCTCTTCCAGGGGCCAGGGAGATGGCTCAGTGGAATAAGCGCTTCCCTGGCAAGTGCAAAGGCCTGAGTTCAATCCCTGGTTCCGCCAAAAAAATAAAGAGAGAGAGAGAGAGAGAGAGAGAGAGAGAGAGAGAGAGAGAGACTCTTCCATGTCCTTTACGGACCTTTGTGGGTTATGACTTCTCTTACTATTAAACCTTTACTTCTCCAGTCCCACCCAACTCCAAAATATACACATTCCATGCCAATATAAAATCAGGTCCTTAGTCCACATTAAGTATAATGCTACTGAAGTGAAAAAAGTCTTAGTTCATTTTCTGATGCTATAAGAAATACCCAAGATTGAGTGATTTATAAAGAATAAAGGTTTATTTTGACTTCTGAGATACCCAAAAGCATAGCCCACCTGCATCTACCTGGCATATGTGAGGGCCTCCTTCCTATGACAGTGACAGAAGAAAACTGTGACTCTCATCCTGTTAAGACAGGTCATCAAATGTAAGAGCTCGTGGCCTCACACCATCAAGGAATGAAGCTACAAACCAAAGGAGGAAGTTAGGGGATTTTTGTTAGAAATAAGGAGAGAAGAAGAGCTACTGCATTTTCAGGAGATGTCCCAAGTGGTTAGCCACCAAGGCCTTTTGTCAAAAGCATAATTTATACAGCAAAATTACAATGGGGTAGAATGTGGGCCAGGCTACTATTAATGTATATGTAGCTAATATTGATCCAGTAGGGAAGCAAATCACCCATCATAAAGCAGGATATGTGGAAAGATCAAAGGAATTTTTACAAAGCGAGAGAAATGTGGGTCAAGGTGTTTTGCTTGTTAGCTGCAAGGGGCAGAAGGCTTGTAGGGCTGGCTATTGTTTCTCTTTCCTGAGGCCTGGCTCTCTTCAGATTTGCCTTGAGCTATGTCAGATGTCTCTATTTTTTTGTCTTACTTCCTTGAGAGCCAAGTCCCTCTCTGACAATGTATTAATTCCTATCTAACTTAGTTGTCTGTAATAATAACGTGGAAGAGAGTATCATATGGCAAGACAGAACAAGCCAGCCAGAAGGACCGCACGTTTTAGCAATGCCATTCTTTCACTAACTAAATAATCACTGCATCTAGGCATAGCTTCCTCTCCAAGGGCAGAGCTCTCGAGCCCCAATCATCCAGCAAAGGTACTACCTCCAAATCTGAACATCTTTGGAGACTAGACTTCCAACATGTGAAATTTGGGGAATACATTCAAAATATAGAAGTAAGAGAGTTTCACAATTCTGAGGTTTAAAAAATATTCTTAACTTTTGTCCTTATGGTATAAACCTTATTGCATATATAGAACTATTAAAGAGTTGGATTGCAACTTGTAGGTTGATTAAGTTTATCTTTTGTAGGCACTTGATGAACCATTTGTTAATTTTCATCTTTCCAGTTTCATACTTGGGAACCAATATTTTTCCCCACATAGCCAACTTTGGCAGGAGGGGAGGGTCTTTGAAAGTGCTCAGGGTTGGTCTCAATATAGCAGGAAGGGGACTTTCCTGGTGGAGGTGCTAGGGTGCTGGGAAGATGCCATGAGAGCCTGAATACACAGGGGTCCCTTCTTTCCTCCTCTCCCTGCCAGTCTCCCTCCAGTGCCTCCTTTTGGCAGAATCAAACTGGAAACCAGAGGCAAAGGATTTGGAAAATGTGGTGTGCTGATCTGGAATGGAGCCTGCCATCCATCAGGAAGTTACCTTCATGAGAAGCAGGTTTCCAAAGCAGGAAGACCTGGAACAGATTGGGATGATCAGCCCACAGAAGGGAACTCACAGGTCTTTTGAAAGCGTTCAGCTAGAGCCAGGAGGCAAGAATGGGAGCTGGTTAACAGCCTGAAAGCACCACCTTAGCAGAGTCTTGCATCCTTCCAGGGCGATTTTATCATTTTGAGGACCGGAGTAGAGATGGAGAAAGGCAATCAGCAAGTGGAAGATGCTTTACTGGAGATACAAGGGTCAGGAGGCCTGGTCTTACGTCTACTCACACCACTAATCAGTGTCCTGGGCAGCCCTCCCCCACCCCCAGCACTTTTGGGGCAGAGGACATAAGAGCCAGGACGCTGTCACTAGTATGCAGTGGCATGGCTGTCAGTCCAGTGGTGACACCGTCTATACCTTGTAACTTCTAGCTTGCTTTTTCTATCCCCCTTTTACCTGTGACAATCTAGTA